AATGTGCTTGAATCATAAATATAGTTTAACACTGTATGAATTTCCCCAAGTTAAACATACCCATGTAAGCAGCACCAAAATCAAGAAACAAAATCCTGTCCCCCAAAAACCCTCCACTTCCTTCCTTCCAAAGAGTAACCACTATCTTGACTTCTAATGCACTAGATTAGTTTTGCCTGTTTATGTTCTTACATAAATGAAAGACACAGTATATCCTTATATGTGTCTGGCTCCTTTCATTCAGACTTGTTTTGTGAGATTCAGTCATATTGTTGTATGCATTGGTAGTGTGCTCATTCTCATTGCTGTATCATCATATTCCATTGTATAAATACCATAATCTCTCGCTTCTAGTGATCACTCAACAGGATGTTAGCAAGCAAAGATAATGGTTGATAAAAGCCCTTCTCAAAAGCTAAAAATTTCAAAGTGGTGATAGCACGTGGTACTGAATCACACTAGACCAGGTGAGGGCCTGACCTATGACACTGATTTAACTGACTGCTGCTCATGCCTTTCAGATCGATGAAGTGGCATTTTCTTCCCTGAACTTCAATGCCCAGGAATCAAAGAAACCAACTTTAGCCTCCCCACCCTCATCAGCTACAGAAACAGTTTATTCAGAAGTAAAAAAGAAGTACTGCAACCTGCCCTGTTTGCTGCCCTGATGACATTCCAATCTTCTCATCCCCATCACTGGAAGGATAGCTTTACCCTCAAGGAAAAGAAGCTTCTTCCTCCACCCCACAACTTCCAAATGAGGCACCTCCAAGCTGCCCAGTCACAGCCCCTCCCTTCAGTGTCAATACATGAAAAGGTAAGGCTAGGAGTCTGTAGGAAACCCAGTCTTTCCAATCCTTGAACTTAGGCAAAGCATACCATGAGAGAAAGTTGCCAGAACATCCCTCCCCTCCCCCTCTCCTGACCTAAACTAGTTTTAAATTTAACTATTCAGAGCACAATAACCTCCCCGTCCCAGTCCTGTCTAACTTGAATTTGCCATAACCCTGAGACATATGTCTTTATCTACTGAAATGCATGTGCCAGAAAGGAATAGAGAAAAAGTAAAAGTAAAAACTTCTCCTGTGTCTACAAAGCCCAGGGTGAGCCCATGAGACACAGGAAAAGAAATATATAACCAATTCTGAACTAAGAAAAAATTCTACACATTTGTCCACTGCAGCATTGTCTACCCATAGGACCAGGGCCTAAGAACCTTGCTGCTTAGCTGGAATACCACATAAGCCCATGGCTTGCCTGTCTTCAGAGAACTCACTAGAAGCAACTAGAAAAATTATTTTTCCAGTTTCACAGGTGAGTCCTAATGGAAAATGAAAAAAAAAATGCATGTAACTTTCAATCACTTTAAGGGCTTTATTCAAGTAAATGCCCACAGAAGGGGAGGTTACGGCTTTAGGGAGGAGTCAGCTGGTAACAGAGACAACTTGCTGGGAATCTGGGAAAGGAATCAGAGAGCTACCCTTCAGATATTATTTAAATAAGTGTTAAAAATGCACAATTTACAGAATTGGGTTTTTTCTCTATAGTCTGAGACATTCTGCCATTTAATTTTTGTAACTGCTTATTTATGTGAGAGGGGTTATTTTTACTTAGCTTAGCTGTGTAAGTCAATCTGACTGCCTTAGATGAAAGAAGCCACCAAAACTCCTCAAGTCCCCTTGGCCAGGAGCTCCTCAAGGCTTTTATGTCAGGGGCTCCAAACAGAAAAGAAGAAGAAGCCATTTTCCTCATTCATGGCTAGAAATGGATCTAACTCAGTTTCCAGGCATCTCAGGCCAATCACCAGCCTCCATTCTACCCCATGTATCTGCCTGTGTATGTTCTGTCAGCCCTACTCACTTTCTCAGGAAACTTTGGCCCCTGCTAAGGTGCATTTGGTCCTGTGAAGTGGGAGTGCTTGAAGGGAACACTGTCACTCATGCCATTGGCATCATTTACAACCTAGAAAGCTGCACTGGTGTTGATGCCCCTTAGGACACAAGGGGAATATTATCACTGGGCCCTAGGCTTCTTGAAGACCCTGTGAAATTCGTTTTCCCCCATGGGGTCTATGAGTCCCAGTGTGTCTTAGGATAAAAGGAAGGGCAGGACAAGGAGAGGCAAATGCACTTCCCACCCAGCCTTCTTCTGCACAGATGGAATCTCTTTGGGGCTGTTGAGAGAAAGGTTTTACTCAATATTTATTACTTGATCTCATGCTGTGTCTAAGAGACCCCCTCAAAGAGGGTTATTTGGGAGTTCTCTGTGCTCAGTACCTCATTCAGGGTTTTCTAACCCTGACACACACTGTATGGACTTCCTCTCATCCACACTATTCTGTGTTGTTTAATTTTGCCTGGCTAAGGCTATTTTGGAATTATTTGTAAAATCTGCTCTATATTTATAATAAAAATTATATATCAGACGTCAACATGCTGCTTCATTGTCAATACTGCTTTAGACAATGTCTTCTTTACAGGCAGAAGAAAGAGAACTTGCTTAACTGGGCATCAGAGTAAGCCTATTTCTAAGTCTACAGATATTTGATCTAGTGATCAGAGAATTAGCTACATTCATTTGCACACCTGCTAACAAAGTGGGTCTATCTAGAATCAACAGGCCACATCTCCAACCTGTCTGGAAGAAACTGCCTGTCTTCCTCCCACAAAGAAGATGATTTCATGAGGAAAAGATCTCCCAGCCTCTTTCTTAGGGACAAATAACACTTCCCACACGGGTGGCTCCAGTGAATCAGATGCAGCAATACAGCTTTCATTCACAAGTGTCTCCACAGTTTCAATCACATAGAAATCTCTCTAGCACCTTCTATCTTCCTTGTCCCCAGTTCCTTTGTTCTGCCCCCTCAGAGGGTCAGATCTCTTCTGACCTGAATAACTGTCATTTATTAATTTCACTAAGTAGTAACCTGTTATCTCATTTCCTTCACTTCCAAGCCTTGAAACACGTGTGCTGTGTTTCTCCTTCCTCATCACCTCATTCCTCAGGGGCTTCTGCCAGACCCAAGGCTACTGAAAGCAGCATAAAATCAGTATCCATCTTTGGCCAAATTCAAAGGTATATTCACCATCCTCACATTGTTCACTCTTAAAACATCCAAGACCACAAACAACTTCTTCCTTCTTGGACGCTCTCCTCCTCCCATCCCCACTGACACACTGCACCCCCACACCAGAGTTAGTTCTCAGACCCTGACTGAAACCCTCCAGTACCCTCTTTCCTTGGGTCAGTGACCTCTCTGCAGATGCCTCCTGCATCTCTATCTCTAGTCCCTGCCACTTCCGAGAACTCATCACACCCACTTTCAAATACCTTATGAAATTACTCCTTATTTAAACCAGCTTTGACTCAGAACTCACTGATTTTTCTCAGTGACAACACTATTTCCTCAGCCCTGGCTCTTTTGTTTCCCAGATTCAATACATCATCAGAGCCTGTTGATTCTTTTTTAACATCTCTCAATTGTGTTGTTCTCCCATTCCCACAAACCTAAATAACTCAGGCCCTCAACAACTCTGCTGCTGGAAGTACAGCTTGACTTCTTGTCTCTGGACTCTCTACTGAAATCTTCCTTGCATACTGCTGTCTCATTACCTTCCTAAAAACTGGTTCACTCTCCTACTCAGAATCCACAGTGGCCTACCCTGGCCAACCAGATAAGCTCACATTTCTTCCTCTTTACTAATATTTCTCACTTTTGTTACCACTACTCTCCAGTATAATTCCTCCATTCTAATTATATCTGTCTCCTTACCCCTTCCTGCTCCTCTACCCCATATTCACATACAATTCTTAGTCCCAATGACATGCCTGAAAACAAACACCAAACACGGCAATGTTCTCTCATAGAGGAGTTACCCACACCAGTCATCACAAGTCTGACCCCAGCGGGGAGGACCCTGTAGCGTTAATGTGTGAACCTGAGACACCAGACACAATGTACCTGTGATTGAGAATCTTTTCCTCATGATGTGTACATGAACTCCTATTAATCACCTACTGTGGTACAAGTCTCAGTGTTAGACTCCATGAAAGATACAGAAATGAGAAAGGCAGGGTCCCTATCAAGGAACATAAAGCCTAAGACACGAGATAAGACATGAGAAACTATTATAATACAAAGATAGAAAGGGGTAGATACCACAAGGGAAAGCAGAGAGACATCCATTAGGAAACATTGCTACACTTAGAATGACTGAGAAAATTTTAGAAACAACTGAGGCCCGGTGGTGCCGTGGTTAAGTTCGCACGTTCCGCTTCTCGGCAGCCCGGGGTTTGCCGGTTTGGATCCTGGGCGCGGACATGGCACCGCTTGGCACGCCATGCTGTGGTAGGTGTCCCACATATAAAGTAGAGGAAGATGGGCATGGATGTTAGCTCAGGGCCAATCTTTGTCAGCAAAAAGAGGAGGATTGACAGCAGATGTTAGCCCAGGGCTGGTCTTCCTCAAAAAAAATAAAATAAAATAAATGAATGAATGAATGAATCCAGTTCTGGTCTACCTGACTCCAAAGACACATGGACACCTGACACATCCAGTGCTTGAAACATCTCTCTGTCTCCCCTTTCTCTGTCTCTGTCTGTCTCTGTCTCTGTCTTTCTCTCTTGCTGAACTGTACTTAGGGAGAAGCTGGGCTGGTGAGGAGCTACAATAGGACCCAGGTTAGAATTAAGTTCCCAGGGTCATCCTGGAGAAGTAGAAACGTGCAGGGCCCAGAGCCAACCCTAAGAATGTGGGGTCTGGAAAAATTTAACTCACCCTACCTCCACTCATTTTACTCAAGTGACATCAGGCTATAAGGAATATCAAAGGCAGTATTGAAGGGGGAAAAAAGTCAAAAAAGGGCATCATGAAGCCTTAGGAGAAGTGAGTTTTCAACAGAGGTGGGAGTCCTGCCCCAGTTGACTTAGCGCTTCAATATGGTAGAGGGGATACCATATAGTAGAGGGGATATGGGCTTAGTACAAGTGCCATAGAAAAAAATTGTCACCTGTTGGTCTGAGCGTTTTTGCACATCTTTCTCTCTGCCCTACCCTTAGCTAATGCCCAACTTCCCGGTCTGAACATAGTAAAGTAACTCCAGTTCCCTAGAGACAATTCCACAAGGCCTCAAATTGCCCTGCCTGTCACTGCTAATGTTCTTAAGAGTAGCTAACAAATCCTGTTTCCAGTCCCTCAAGGAAATACACTCATTCTCCATCTCTGGGAGTGCTGGAGGGCACGCTCTCATAACTTGAGCCAGGAGATAAGTTGAGGGATGAACAGAGTTGCCATCCCCACCACACTACCTACCACAGCACTCCCTAAGGAGCCCAGGTTCCTTTTCCTGTCCTTCTGAATAGGAGAGTCAGAAAGTGCAAGGGCTGGACTCCTGCCCCACTCTCCTCCATCAGCCGCTCCAGCATCTCACCTCACCTGTCCGGTTCTGAGAGTCCCAAAGGCTACTAGTGAGATCGAGTTGGGTACTGAGGGAATTAGGTCCAGAAAGCCTTGTTCAAGAAAAGACCAACTATTAGCTGCTGAGGATAGGGATTGAATTTCATTTATCTTTGAAAATTCAGCACACCCACCCTTGGTAGGCAGGTGACGATAACAGTGAAATTAAATTGTTTTTAATGCTTAGAATGCCTAGATATTGGATAGAAACAAGTCACAAATTTGATCTGTTTCCTGTTTGTCAACATGTCTCTAATCTTCTCAAAACAGGATGATACCTCTGCCACAGAAGCTCTCACATCCTCTGGGTCCTACTCACAAATCCAGGGTGGTGATAGCTAAACAATCAACATCTATTTCTGAGAACTGACCTCAGACTGTTCAGGCAGGTCTGGTGTTTCATCCTCCATCTCCCCACACTCTCATACTTTACAAATCCAAGAATAAAACAAGGTGAATTTCAGACCAGATTAAGGAAATTTCTAACATCTTTTAAATCAGCTCTTTGACAACACAAGTTACCAGTACATTGCGCAAAAGCAGACACACAAAGAGAGCAACCCCAGCCCCTGAATTACTTCCTCTCAGCATCAACTGCCATTGACCGCATACTCTGACCCACATGCACACACCCAGGCACAGGTAATACACTCAACACATACATAGCACCCACTCTAAACTCTTAAGTGGCAGCAACATACAAAACATTAGGACACCACATGGGTTCACATATGTGTTATGCTGACTCCAAGACAATTAAGAATATAACCCTACCCTACCCTTCACCATATGGGAATGCTGGGAGCTAGAGCATGCACATGTGTCTCTCTGGAACTGAAGCCCTGTGTGTTCTGCCAGGCTCTATAGGGAAAGAGGAAAACATGAAGCAGAGACCCTGATGGCTATGAGAATTCCCTGCTGTTTGTTTCAGGGACCCACAGGCAGGAAGCAGCCAGGAAAGTTATCAAACACTCATAATCCACTCCAGAAACTGAATGTGATGCTCAGGGGTAGGTTGTGGAGGAGGGGGGAGAACAGGGAGGGAAGTCCCATCAAACCAAAACATGAGAAGTCTGTGCGATGACAGGAAACCTACCAAGCAGGCCCTCCTTCCCCAGGGCCAAGGGGGCCCCAGGCTCCAGAGACTCTCCTCACCGCACCCACAGTGGGCATCTTCAGGCCACTGAAACACAGAGCTGTGCAGGAGGAGGCACCAACAGAACTCACTGCCTGCTCATTTGGGGGAAGGCAGGCACATGAGACAGAAATAAAGAAGCAGCATTCAGGGCTCTGTCACACCTGCCCCCGCCTCCCTGCTACTAATCACAGAATCATACCTCGAGAGCAAGAAGGAACGTGCAAGATTACATCACCCAAATCCAACAATTTTCAGATAAGAAAACTCAAGTGCCGAGTGAGTGAGTGACTTTCCCATGGTAACGAAGGAAACTGGTAGCTTAGCTGACACAGAACCAGCTCTCCTCAGGTTTGTCCCACACCCCTGGATCTCCCCAAGGCCACAGTGTGTGAAGAGCCAAAAATGTGAAGTGTATAAAACTCACTGTTGTCTTCACTCAAGGTAGAAATCGAAACTGGATCAGCCCTGCAAACCTGCTCGTGGATGAGAGAAAGTTCACGTTTTCACCTGTTTACCTGCATTGCCTGGCTCCGAGTCCTTAGGGAGATTAACCGTCCATTTCTGAAAAGATGGGGACATGTGCAGACCACTGCTGTGGGTGACAGGATTTCCACTTCACATCCCAGGCTGCAACTCCACTCTCCTCATCACGCTCTCAGCATGAAGCAGCTAAACTTCATAGGAAGCTCCCCCTCCACATGAGAGCCTGGCTGGGCCTGAGAGGAACCACAGGGCAACTCCTCCTCTCCCAGGGCACATCCCCCACTGAGCAGCGAACCACACCGTGTTCCCTTGACCTCTCCCATCTCTGTCCCACCCAGGGCACAGGCAGAGAAGT